GCATCACACGAATGTATACAGAGGGACTTCCTGAAAAGCTAATAATGGAGTGTAGTGGACACCTGAGTCTTGGTAGTGTCCGATCATATGAAAGTACATCAGAAGGTCAAACAATGGAAGCCTCAAGGATTTTGACATCATTTAACACTGTAGTTAGCAAGGAAATTGATACTCGTGTGACCAGCAAAGCACTTGAAACGATTCTACCAGGCCCTTTAGATGATGACAAAGAGAATAAGATGTTCAGGTTACAGAATCTTCAAGGATGCACACTGAACTTCAATATTCATTGACATTTATTCATTTTGTATCACTTGTATAATCACTCATTTAACTCCTATTATTTCATCTTTGCTTATAATAACCACACCAATGAGTTTATATTGTTATATAATACCTAAAATCAGGTTTGTATTGAAAAATATAACTGTACGGGCATTAATTAGAAAGGCTACATTAATATGGCATATTTCTTAAAGGAAATATAATCATGATATATATATATATCTTGTATTAAAAATATAATAGGTATTACCTTTGCATATATGATATTACATTATAATAAGTGTTTCTTTTTGAAAGTTTTTTTAGCTTGTTGAATGTACAAACACTCTTTTGTAAGGCATGATGATGTCTAGAGTCATGCTCAGCTCTATCACAACAAAAAATAATATCATCCATGTGACAGAGTGCTCTTGCTTGACCACATAAAAATTGGCTCATGCATTTCCGAAAGTGAACAGGAGCATTGCAGATGCCAAAAGGAAACTTAATAAAAACAGTACCTCCCAAGGGAGTGACAAATGTGGTCAGTAGTCTGGATCTATCTGCCAAAGGAATGTGCCACAACCCACATTTTGCATCCACCTTACTAAAAATAGTGGCACCAATAAGTTGAGATGATGTATCTTCTACAGTTGGAAGTGGCTGAATCTCCTGCATAACACTCTCGATTAATTGCAGAAGTCCACACAGGTCCAAAGAGCATCAGATTTCTTAGGTACAACAACCATACCTGAGCACCAAGGTGTCGGCTCCTCAACTGGAAATATGACTCCAATCCGCTCCATTTGAGCTAGCTCTCTCTGTACCTTTTCTCTCAGTGGGAGTGGTACATTCCTACTTGTATAGATGGCAACTGGTTGTGCATCTACCAACAGCTTAATCTCTTACTTTCCTTGGAATGTGCTAGTTCCAGCAAAAAGCTAGGGATACTTGTCTGGAATAAAACTTTCCAACTCATCAGCAATTTTGAGTAATTGTAGGGTACTAAGAGGTGGTAATCTTGAAAACTTTGTAGAAACTTCTTTCACAACAAAAAGAGACAGTGTAGCAGACCTGTCATATGACAATGTGACATAAGCTTGTCCCAATACTTCCAGTTGTTTTCCAGCATTCCCAAACAAATCATCTGGTGCGTTAAAGAGAGAGGCTCCCCTTAGAGGTAATATTACTTCTGAAATGACTGTTACCTCTGCTCCTGTGTATGGTTTGAAACTGATATCCTTTCCATTGACACTAAGTGTGGTGTTAAGTGAGCTTTGATTGGGGCCCAGAGTAATTACATTGATGTACTTTACATCATCTTTTGTCCCCAGATCCTCCGACTGTGCCTATGCCTTAATGACAGACACTCTTTTCTTGTGTTTTGAGTAGGACTGCGAGCAGAAGTGCCCAACTTGTTTGCAGAAGTAGCACGTAACGCTCCTAGCTGAACATCTTGCTTCAATCAGGTCTCCTACTGCATCTTGAACATTTATTACCACTAGGTGATGATCCCCATGGTTGTGGAGAAGCTCCTTGCTTATTCTGTTGTGCTGCACTACGTTTACTGAATACTTTATCAGCTCTCTTTTCAGCTCCATTCCCATTCATGTGGCCTGCTTGATCATGAACAGCCTCTCTGTCTTGCAAGGTATTTAGCTTTGTCTATTGTGAGATCTGAATCAGTTTGCAACTGTTTTGACAGTGCTTTATTTCTTATTCCCACTAATATACGGTCTCTGATCACTCTTAGATTATAAAACTCACACAGATCTAGGCCATAAAGGCTAATAATAAACTGTTTGATCAACCTTCCTTCGGGAACGCATCGCTTAAGCCTGGTGGTGTCATATTTCTTTTCTTTCTGACTTTAAAAAACTCATCAAACTTAGCTATTACTCCATTGTAAGTCACTGTCTCCGCATTTGTAGGGTCCATGGACAGCATTATGTCCTCTGCATCTTCCCACATAGAACATGGTAGACTATTGACCTGCTTTGTGTTATTCTTTCCACATAGATCAGAAACCTCTCTAAGCTATTCTCAAAAATGAACTGTTCTGGAGGAAGAAGACAATATGTAGCAATAACAGGACGACTTCTGACACCATGAAATATAAATAGTCTCATTGTGTACTGCTGAATCACCAGTCAGTACGAATTATTACTATCAAAATTAAGAGAGAGAATGCAGCACAAAAAGATTAAAACAAGTGACTCAACAAGTGCTTACACCGTGTTTAAACATAATACATGTATGTTATAATAATGTATAATAATAATAAACCCAAAGCCATGTGAGTGTATAACTTCTGAGCAAGCTCAGTCCAAATGATCATTATTCCACAACCGTGGTAGCCAATTTATTGTGTCATTATGTTAGGTGGTTCTTTATTATTTGAATACAAGTCTGCATCAATCATGGCTCGTAAGAAAGCATTCTTAAGTGGGAAAAAACAGCCAGTTATTAATTCAACAGTGCCAAAATCAATTTTATGCAAAAAAATTAACTTTAGCTACAATTACTTAATGCACGCCTAACACTCAACATTATTACACCAACAATAGACACAAATGTAACCATCACAAGATGAAGATTTACTACTGTTATGTTGTGTAGAAGTAACAGTCACAGTACCTACAACAACACTTTCCATTATGATACACAGATCTTACCTACGTATTAAACACTTATAAAGACCATGACATTTTTGCCAAGAAATATAGCTATACCTTCCATTGACACCATCATCTCTGTAGCTGTATATTATTTCACTGCACATATGCCCAGTTAATCCTGACAATTGTTTATAGTGTGAGCAGGAAGAGTAGAAAAAGTTTTAAAAACATACGAGGTATCCTTATTTAATAATTCATTTCTTTAACTATTATTGTATATTAGTATAGGCATTTCTGTATCATATGTTGCAGAGGAACAATGAAGAACAATGAAGCATAGCAATTGCACTGACATGCAGGAACAAAAAATGTGTTGCTCTATCAGCATTAGCTACAGGCACACATTAAATGCAATGAAAATGTAGGAGTTAGTTACCTGCAGAGATTATAGATGCTTCTCAAAGGAGCAAGCGACACAACAGCTGTAAGATCTAAAGTCAATTATAATGCTCCAGTAACATCATTAATTTATCTTCCAGCAAAACTTTAAAGGACTACAGTCACTACTAGAAAGCATGTCAGGTTTATCATTAGAGCTCGACAAACGAACCATTCAGGATTTAAAAGTAACATAATTAGTTAAACATCAAAAACACATGACACTGCTAGCTGACAAAAAGATTTAGTGCACAACAAAGGCACAGGAGGATTTTGCAATATTAGACACATTGCAAGCACCTTCTGAAACTAGAACACAAACAGGATGGCATAAGCAGTACTGTTATGCAAGTACCAACACTAGCAAAGATGGTTGTAGTTATTACACATTTTACGAACTTCACCATGCCATATTCATAGTTTTAAGAAACAATTTTAACCTTGGAACAATTAAATTCAATTTTTCTTGAGTTTCTCATCACTTTGCAATCATTTGGCTTCAAAGAATTAAGCACAACACTTAATGAAAACTTGGTGAATAGGAAATTTATGACGCTAGTAGCAAATGACACGAGATGTGAAGCAAAAATTAAAAAATTGTGCCAGTGACAGGGGAAGCTCTATTTCTTTTCACATCCTCCTCACTTAATAAAGACCGCCAGTATTGCTAAGCTAGTTATAAAAGAAGTATGAATGTAAATATATGATTGTAACTAGTTCATATATCATTACATGTACATAAACCATATTTGTCTCAAGGAAAGTCAATATACCCAGATTCTTTGGAAAAGTTTTTTGGCAGGCAACGTTAAAGGTGGAAATTAAATAAGAACCCAACCACTTAACAGTTTTTGGTCAATATTCAATCATTAAGATACGATTTCTTCAAAAAATTTGATGTTATAGTTGGTTTCCATTTAGAAGAAACAGAACTAAATAAATTTTTTGTCATCATAATGTCACATGTAGCGTAGCTCAAATACGGCTGCAATGTGAAAGCTGTCATCCTTTGAGTGTTTCTTCTACTTTATATTACGTTAATATCTATTGTACCTTTGGTCTCATGGCGCCAGACCACGCCCTCAGTACCTGTCATGTCGGGAAAATTGTACATGTCAAACTTGTTCGTGGAAGTGCAGTTAAAATTAAGAAACCATACATAGATAATTAACTTTACATGAATTTTTAATGTAACTTTAAGAGTTGTGGCCATTTATATGTGTAGCATGGCTGCCATGTGTGCAAAAGAATGTAGCTAAAGTTGCAGTGGATGTCATCAATTGACTAACCCTCATGTTTTATGGACTGAATTTATCTAACAGATTCAACAGTGAGGCTTTCTTTTGTTGCAAGTGTTGGAGTATGGCAGAGGGGTTAGCAGCTCTTGTAAAGGAGGTACAGTCAGACAAGACTGAATTTAATAGAAGAGACAGAGGTCAGGGCATGTTACTCAACCATGTTGTGTGAATGGAGAAATAGAAATTGAGGATACTGAAGAGAATACAGATGATAATGAGTTTGTGGATGTTGTTGTAGATGAGGATCAAAAACGACATATTGATAATACAACAAGCACAGGTATGCCTATACACTTAATAGTTCATTAAACATATAAATATTAACTCTACTAGATATAGACACAGCAACAGACATGGCTGCTGCTGTTAAAATTTTGCCGGTAATGGAGGCTATTGTGGAAAATCAAGATGAATTGCTAGGTAAATTATTTTTGTTGCAAAATGTCTCATATAGCTCCACTTTAGATGATAGTGAGGTCAATGTGGAAAATGATAGTCAAAAAGA